AAAAACAAGAAAAACAAAGTTACTTTGTTAATTTATTTATATACTTTGTTGTTTTATTGCTATACTTGTTTTATTTATTAGCCTGCTATATATAGCGAAAAAGCCCGAAACGCGCTGCGTCTTTTGGTATATTTACATTAACATCAAATGCAATTTAAAGTGTAAAGATGTATTAGAAAAAAAAGTGACATTTTTTTTACTACATGATGTCCATAATGTTGTAACATTTTTTATTTGGCGTATATCTCGACTTAGATAAATAATAAAATCTTGAATTTTTTTCCGGAAGATGCGTGGTGAAAAGCTTTATAAAAACTGTATAATTGAATTTCTTTTTACCTGGTCTAATGATTTTTCTTATACCCAAAATGAAAAACCTACATGACAGTACCACTGTCCATCATATTGAAAATGTTTGAAACACTTTTTTTGTTTTGCATATATCTCGAATTCAGAAAATGATAGACTATTGAATTTTTTTTAAAAGATGATACCGTCGAAAGCTCTACAAAACTTGTACAGACTAATTTCTACAGCGGCTCAGAAAAGTCCTGGAAAAATTTTCTATATGATGGGAAGTGACACTGCCATGTAAGTTGTTCATTTTGAGTACAAGCAAAAAAAATCAGAACAGGTAAAAAGGAATTCGATCATACAGCTTTTCACGGCGCATCTTCTGGAAAAAATTCAAAATATTATCATTTACTTAAGCCCAGATATATGCGGAAAAAAAACTGTTAACATTATGGACACCCGGTATTGTAGTGAAAAAAATATTTAGTTTTTTCTAATACATCTTTTACACTTTAATATGATTATGTTTAATGTAAATATACCAAAAGATCCAGTGCGTTCCGGGCTTTCTCGCTATATACAGTAGGCTAATAATAAAACAAGTATAACAATAAAACAAAAAATCAAGGGGAGAAAACTAATTGGGCCGCGCTGTATATGAGATAAAGATGATATTCTTAAATGTGTTTGTGAATTTGGAAAATTATAAAATATATGTATCATCGAATCAGCTATGATTATGAACCGTCAGTTTGTTCCAAGATTGTATCTGATGGGGCTCTGACGTTATAATGCATCGCTACTATATCGTTGTTCGCTCAATTTTTAGCGGAATCTGACTTCGGTTTTTCTTTGCACTGAGATAAACGTTGATTTATCTCAGGAACTATTTATGCTTAGTCAAAAGATTGACGAGTCTAAGTATGACAATTTGGCAAAAAGAAATTTCCTTTAGTTTTATCAGTTAGCGTAGGGCGAAACAATCTTTTAGCGAAAACTTCGATTTTCACACAATTTGTGCACTGTCCTTTTCACTTTTGTTTCCCTCATAATTCCAGCAAAATAAATCTGTTTGCTCAGAAAATTTTACTCTTTTTCAACATCCAGAAGTTACATAGGGCGTGAAAAAAAAAGCTCAAAACCCCACTCAATGTTCCCCACTCAAAAGTGTGATCACAGTATTTTTTTAGCTCCTAATGCGCATTTTAGAAGCAAAGCAAGATAGTAGAAAAGAAAAAAGAAACGAAAATAAAATCACTATTTTTCACAGTTCTATTAAGCGTCATCATGTTGTGCAAGAGCAAATTTTCAGTTGGTATTTTCCAACTTATTTTTTTTTACCGGCAGTAAAAACACATTATGGGATTTCCTGAGCTCAAGCGCAGTACAAAATGATTTATTAATTATTGTTTCAAAGATCCAATAGTGTTATATCATTTTTGCTATTATTTACAAGATAAGCATTCAGTTTGAGGTCAATGGAACAACCTCAACGCAAGAAATTAAAGAAGAATCCCTCTACAACATCTGATCGAAATACTTTACATTACCCACTGCCGTTAGATATTGCAGTGAATATTCTGTCCTATCTACAAGACGTCAATGATCTTGGACACTGTTTGCTTGTCAATAAGTTTTGGAATTTAGCAGCTTCACAACCATCTTTGTGGAAGAAGTTTGTAGATAAGGAATTTGGTGCTTACTTTAGTCATGACGGCAGTTGTAATTGGTTGAAGGTTTACAAAAACTTTCATGGACTGGATATTCAGGAAGACTCGTGGGTGAATATTGATGACTTAGAGGATACTGTTAGTTGTCCTTTTTGCGGAATTCAACTGTCACCCTTTGAAAAAGATGATGATTATTATGTTCATTGCGACTGTAATCATCAATTCAGTATTTGTGTGATTACCGAAGAGCAGCATGGTGAAGCAGATAAAAACTACTGCAGAAGATACGGCCTACATGATTAATCGAAATGGAAGAACCTAGTCAGCGGAGTAGCTTTACATTAATATATACACTGACTTGTACAGTCAGAAAAATATTTTCTTTACCGTTGCACGTTACATTGTTTCATTCCTTTACTGGTACTGTCATGAGTAAACTATACTGCACATGTATAGGTCACGACGGACGAAAGAACAGAAAGAAAGCAAATAATGCTTCTGACGTCTTACGATCCAGCATTATCTTTCCCTGTTGTGTATTGATGACGCTGAATAAAGTAAAGCATTTATTTTGCACACAAAGCGCAACAAGGACGCTCGAAGTACAAAATAAAGCAATGCTTGCAGACGTCATCCCAAGCAAAAATTACCTATGAGAAAAATCTACATACATTTCGTCTGAAATTGGGCAATAGACGACTAGTTGTCATCTAGATTACTAGTTGGAAAAGGGACCTTTAACTAGATGCGTCTAACAATGGTTATAGTGATCGATTATTGGGCGATAAATCGATAAAGGGTAGGCCAGAATTACTGGAACGTTCTAGTACTGATTACTAGTCAATTCGTTTCAGTAATTCTGACTCACCCTTCACGCCCCTCACGCTCCAATAAATCGAATGACTTGTCCATGGATGAACAAAGAAAGAGCGATGAACATCCAGTATTTGTCACGCACCAGTTTTTTGTCACACAGCAGCAGCAGTCACTGGCAAAAGATCAGCAAGATGGACCACCAGAATCGCAAGAACGAACACCATCTCAAATGAACCAATCAACATCACCATCGGATTTGGAAATCACACAGTCAATCTGGATATTTTTCAACGAGATATATTAAACAAGGGTCCAGCATACGTCGAACCTAATCCGACTACAGCACTCCGTCGCCTCTCCTCTGAGATTGAGGTAATGCGCCGCAAAATTCAAACCCGTTTTAACGAAGAAATTCGCGCCCCTGATATTCCTCGCCCTGTAGTAGACACCTTCGCCGGTCGAGTAGCATATGAGTTGAAAGAACAAACTTATAAGCAGCGAACAGACCCCCAAGTTTTTAATGCAATTTGCACTCTCCAAAAACAGCAATCCCACAACCAAGTAGTATTCCGGAAAACTGACAAGTCAAGGATATTCCATCTAGACACCCCTGAGGCCTATCAAGGAAAATCTGACACCTATATGCCGAAAACAAACGCATATGAAGAAATCTCCAGTAACCCTCTCCGACGCACGATTTCTGATTTAGACGGACTTCTGAAACTTTTTCTCCAGCAGAAACGTATTACCCCAGCCCAATACGAGAAATTAAAACCCTCCGTAGACGAGTGTGAACTACCGCATCTATACTACAACCCCAAAGATCACAAAATAGGTGAGCCGCTGCGTCCAATTGTTGCCGGAATCATTTCTCCCACCGCTAAGCTTTCAACTTTCCTCGACCAAATGCCTATGTCCTATTTTTGATAAAACAACTGCGCACTAAAAAAAGAGTAAAATTTTCTGAGCAAACAGATTTATTTTGCTGGAATTATGAGGGAAACAAAAGTGAAAAGGACAGTGCACAAATTGTGTGAAAATCGAAGTTTTCGCTAAAAGATTGTTTCGCCCTACGCTAACTGATAAAACTAAAGGAAATTTCTTTTTGCCAAATTGTCATACTTAGACTCGTCAATCTTTTGACTAAGCATAAATAGTTCCTGAGATAAATCAACGTTTATCTCAGTGCAAAGAAAAACCGAAAAGTGTTTGCTATCACAGTATTTTTAGTATTTCATCGACGTAATTTCATTTAATTTCAATTCCAAGTACATATTTGAATACCCCAAGAATTCTGCTACGAATTCAATTAAAACTTCTTCCGCTTTTATTTAATTAGGTTGGGGAAAAAATGAGCTTTTTCTGACGAATCAGCAGAAAAAACCGCAATTTTAGACCTTGTTTGATGAATATCACGGTTTCCTTAAGTAACAGAGAGCTCTTTCGTTCAGAAGTGAATATACAAATATAGAGAAGTAAAAGAATTAGACGAATTTGAAAATTCATTGAATAGAATGGTCTTTATACGCAGAACAGTAACGGTACAATGCCATTAGAGGTTGTTCGGATATTACATAATCGTTTTTTGGACCGTTTTAGACACCTCACTCCTCTTTGTCATCAAACGTAATAATTTGTCTTTTCCTACCCCCTTGATTACTTAATCCACATGTTTTTAAAAAGATTTAAAGATGCAGGCACCTTTTCGTAGCTACTACACCACTTTTCTAAGTGTTTATTTATAAAAGCAAAGAGTAACGTTCACCGAGAATACAGTTCTAGACGCCAAATCTATCCCATAAAAACGTTTTAGTCACTAATGAACAGAAAATTAAAAGTTTGTTGGAACATTTCCTAAAAATTCTGTCCCATATCGTGGCACAATACTAAGTAACTTCTTCAAAATCTGATCTCACTCAGTCCAAAATATTATGTATAATCATAATATTGTTTTCTTGAGCTGATAATCCAGTAGGACGTTGAGAAATGTAAGTTTTCTCCGTTTCACTATCTAAAGTATCATAATCATTTTTTAAAACAAATTCGACGTTGGATTTTGTTTATGTATCTTTTTATGCTGTTTCATACGTGTCTGAGAAGGAAAGTAATGCCTACAAACATCACAAATACGTTTTACAAGCGCAGGTTTAACGCTTGAACAATAAAAGTCGAATGGAATTGATTCATTTTTTAAGGATTTTGTTACGAGATGTGTTAACATTAATCTTTGAGAAAGAGAGCCATAAAAGCACCACTACCGTTGTCAGTCTGTGCAACCTCTAGACCTTCTGAAGTATGTTGAAATGGAACAGGTGCTGGTAAGAAACGATGCGGAAATATTTGTATATAATTACTTCGCCACTGACCACAACATTCTATTGAATTACATCTAACTATTTGACATGCATACTGTGTTTGTAGAACAGGAAGCGAACACCATTTTTCATCCAAATTCTCTTCTGCAGCAAAATCACTATGCTCAACATATTGTGCTACTACAGGAAAACTATCAATCACTGTCGACGACCACACTTCTGCTAATGTTTCACCTGCTTTACAGAAGTTCTCTTTTTCCAAAACAACATCGATCGTTTTTCCATCTGCATTTAGATGACTTCCATACTGATCATGCGGCAGAATTAAACCAGCTATATCGTGTGACAGAGTTGTCATTCTACGTTCAACTTGATTGTAAACTGGCTATCCTGGTGCGTATGTCAAAATGAACAATGCATCGAGACGCTGTTTTCTGAACGTGTGTATTGCAGAGATCAATGTTTTTGGAAAACGTGGATTTTCGTCAGGTCCTCCATCGACTGAAATAATAACAACTGGCTTAACTTGTCCATTACCGTTCAAACAGACGCGCTGAAATTCAGATAAAGAAATGAGACGTTCAAAATCTAGGGCATGATTTTGTGATGTAGAAGAATCATGTTTAGCTGATCGAATGGCAATGTACGTTGGACCGCTATAACTAAGTTCACCATCTTCTTTCAGAACACACGCAGCGTACATCGATGGTATTGGCAAGTGACGCGGTGCTATAACGAATCATGATCTAGCAGCCGTATTTGATAATCCAAATGCATCAGTAATGGTGATTGTTTTTTGGCAGCAGGTAAACCAATTGGCTCTTGTCGTCTTGTGATAGAAAGAAGACGCAATCATTTCCCAAAGTAGATGCTAGATCTTTCACATAACGGCTTTATCCCTTCTCTGCAGTTCATTTCTAAAAATATGATATTTTTGCTCGTCTTATCATCTTTGTTTATCGTCCGCCAAGTTGATTTTTATTCACTATCGTCCAGTATTTTGATGACAATATGCATAGAATAATTTTTTTTTTTTTTTTATAAACTTTTTTTATTTCAATGAATTCCAGAACAAATCGAGACAGCTGTCACATTACATGTTCATAGTTTGCTTTAATACATGACTAAGAAATCTCAAGTTTATATCGTTACGGAAAGTTAACAAGGAAGAAAATGGATGCTAGAAGAGAAAGAAAGACCAGAAAGAGAAAGAGTTTCACTAATTCAAGGGAATGCAGTATGATAATATGTGAGGGGAAGGGCACTCATTCAGTTGAGGTACCATATGTGAGAGCGAGAATCATAGGAGTAGACGCGAAACGGAAGTTTAATAATTTAATAATTTTATCCTTACCTATGTTGTATTGTACCAGTAACCATCATTGTATGAAATTTTTCAATTGTTATTTCTTTGTCATCGGCCATGGTAGAACAGATAAGAAGCAAGAGAGCTACCTAGATTTTGATGAAGACTAAAATGTGAGTGTAATTCAAAATTTTGGCTAGAGCATAAGAAAAGAAATATTTATTACAAATCATAAACAAAAACACAAAGATGCAGACGAAAGTACACCAGGAATATTTGTAGTATAATACGAAATAACTAGTTCGCACAAATTTTCTTAGAAATACTAGAAATAGAGAGGTATATCTCTATTGGCATTTGCTTCACATTTGTCACATTTTTCTTCACAGAAAAGAGAAAAGACAGCAGTTATTCAACAAGATATGTTTACACTTTCAGGCTGCTCTGTCACTCATTTTTAAATACAGCAGACTGTTTCTTCTTCTTTCTGTTGCGTCATTTTGTCCGTTAAAAAACAAAATGCGAGAATCTAACTGTTCTCTTTTCTGTGAAGAAAAATGTGACAACTGTAAAGCAAATACCAACAAGATAACGCTCGTCTGCACTTGCTCGAGTCCTTGACTTTAGAAACTTATATCTGCGAACGAGCCTCCATCACTTCTGAATCCACGACAACGCTCACGCCTCCCTTCGGTCGGCGTTCGCAAGTGCACTATCTAAAATATGTTCTAAATTTTTCTTTGATTTGTTGTATAAAGTTCGTAATCACATGAAAATGTAAAAGGTATTCTCGAGATCCCGCTAAGATCTCCAGAGGTCTAAAAGTATTTCTGAATTCAAAACAATGCTCTCCGTCCGCAGCCAGTATAGCTGAGAAACGCTGTGAACTTTGATTCCACGGAAAAAACATCTGATGTAATATGAAGCCACAAGGTTTTCTGGACACCCTTTGCAGATCCCAAGGAGGTTGGAACTACATCTAACCGATTTGCTATGATAGATTATCTGTACAGTGTAAGTTTTATTATCCGTACACGAGTTTTTTCGTTTTTATCACCGTTGACTGCTGTCTCACGACATCTATCTGCGGCCTACAGAAAACGTTTGCTTAGGTCTTTTCTCTCTGCTGAGTAGAGATGTCACATTACCTCTTTGAATATTTTGTCTCGCGTGGTTAAAAAGAAATTTTTTATGCTTCTCGCTTATGATTGGCTCATGAACTGAATATCTGGCAACCATTTTTCCGTAATTTTTAAAAAATTGATTTTAAAAGAATTTTTAAGAAATGTTTCATTTCTAATTTATTTCATTTTCTGCATAAAATTAATGTGGTTATTCACTGAATAACTAAAGTTTTAACACATATTATGTCTGATTATCATGGCCCGAAGAGAAAGCCGGAAAGTCATGATAGTGAAAAAGAGCCTTAGAACCTTTTTCCAGAACTCATTGAGAAGCTTACTTAATTACAAACAAAAATTATGATTTTTTCGTGTGTTCAACAGTGATATAGGCAGCTCGACATCTTAATAAATCTGAGGTGCACTTTATTGAAAAATATTTCAGCATAAATGTTCATATTCTGTACTTAAAGGTCACGTGATAGTGGAAAAGTATACTGTCTAATTTTTTAAGTATACTGTCTAATATTTTAATTGTTTAACTTGACGGATTATGCATTCATAGTGTAGAAATATTCCTGGATACAAAAAGAGTAAATGAATATTCCCACTAAAGTATAGCTGTACAAACCAACGTTTAATATAAAGTATATGCAAAGGGGTAGCATACCTGGGATTCTCGTTAAATTCCCCATCGATTGATGCATTCCGTTTTCTTGTAAACCACCCCCAGGAAAAGTGACACGATTTGCTATGGTGGAGATTAAAGAAAAGGAAGAAAAGGGAGTTTTCCTCATTGGGTAAGCGGTGGTGAATGGAACATAAAGTGGCGGACAAAATTTTAAGCTATTTTATATTTTCAGTTTTCTCCTCATCAATTTCAAAAGCTGATAAGCATCCAAACAGGATACTCCAGACGATGGGCTACAAAAATGGACTGATTTTATCTTCTCAGGATACATGCTGTTGACCTAGGAGAAAGAGGCGTTTTTATCCAGCGGACAAAGTTTAAGCGATTTTCATCTACTCCATAATAAACGGTTTTTTAATGGTTTGTAGGTGTCGGGAATCGATCAGCTGGAAAGAAGCAGTCGTCAGCAATAAGTCTGAGTAGAAAGAAAGTCTAAAAAATTGGTTTTCCCATGATCTTAAATGTTTTTTAAAAAGCGAGAGGGTTATTTTTCAAAAATTAGTTTCATGGGTTCCCTCAACTACACCACTGGAAAGAGCATGAAAAAATGCATATAGTCCTATAATTTCATCTATTTCTGACAAATTTTAATCGTTTTCTAGCAAGTTTTCCGAGAATTAAATTCTACAGAAAACTTCTTAGAGCCTTTGCCATTAAGGAAACCCATTCTAAAAA